CGGGCGGGCGCCATGCGGCGCGCCGTGGTGGAGTTCCGCGGCCGCAGGGAGGGCTCCCGCTGCGGCTACTGCTCCGCGGCGCACGGCAAAGCCACGGCCGGTGAGTGCGRGCGGCGCCGCGCGGAGCCCCTCATGGCGCCCGCCCTCAGCCAACATGGCGGCGCGGCCGCTTCCTGCGCGGCGCCCTGCCCGCGCCAAAGATGGCGGCGGTTTCCGGGGTGCCCGGCGGGGCGGCGGGCAGGGCGCTGCGCTGAGCGGCCATGGCGGCGGCCGAGGGCTCCYTCAGCATCGTGGAGTACTTCGGCGGAGAGGATGGCTACCGCTGCGGCTACTGCAAGAGCGAGAGCGGCAACCTGTCCCACGGTGCGGGCGGGCGGCGGCGGGAGGCGGCGGCCGCCTGGGAAGCTCCGAGTTCCCGCAGGATAAAAACACCTCGGTCTGGGCCGGCCCTGCCGCAAACGGCTCCTTAGGTCCTGCGGGGTTGTGAGGGCTGCGGTGCTCGTGTGGAGCCAAGTTGTGATTATCTGTTTAAAGAGGAGGGTAACGCAAAGGAGAGGGAGAGACCCTGGGGCTGCGGTGTCGCAGAGCGGGGCGGCGGGSAGAGCGCGGCCCATAGGTTTGGGCGCCCGTAGGGTTTGCTTGTTGGTTGGTTTTGTTGTTGTTATTTCAGCTGTGCCTTTTGGAGGAAGTGTGCTTTCCACTAAGACCTAAAAAGACATAATTAGCTGTCTGTTACATATCTAATAGTACGCGGTTACTAATAAATCGAAATTGCTGCTGTTTGCGTGGTGTCAGGTTGCCTAGTGAAGGTGGTCACCTGCTCCTGGAGCCTCCTTTCTGGGATGGGAGATCCTCGCCGGGWCGTCCACACGCACTGTAGGCAGTGACATAGGCACGGGAGGGCCTCGTTCCGCCCTAAGTGCAGAAATACAGGTGCTAAAACTCTTACAGGCAGAGACAGTGCTCAAATTGGGGCTGTTTGGATTGCATTCCTTGCTCAGCTTGTTCCCATGTGCAAGGGAGCCAATTTGRAGCCGGCTTTACTTTTTGAGTAACAGCCTGGAGCCTTCTTGCTTAAGCTGGATTGCATTTAACCGTGTTGTATTTTAACATAATATGTAGTTATATTAGTTTTTTAGAAGGCTGGAAGCTGACAATTGCAAGGGATAGAGCTTCCCTATGGGGCAGGATGCAGCGGGCTCTGCCCTGGGGAATCTGCTGTTCCCTCAGCTCCAGATGTTGCTGTTCCCACACATCTGCTCTGCTCCGGAGCTCCCAAAGGGATCCCTGGGAAGGGTCAGGATCAGCTTCGGCAGCTGTTCAGAAGTCCTGGTTAGCTGGGTAGATTCATAATAATAGTGCTATGGAATTTGTCCTGTTTTAAATGGTCTAACTGTGGTCTGTCAATTGTTTAATTGTTTATTACAGGTATGTGGGCACATTCGATGACAGTTCAAGATTACCAGGATCTCATAGACAGAGGATGGCGAAGGTAAACTGAACCCAAAACTTAACCTACAAGGGCAGTTAAGTAGCTTCCATAAAAGATGGCTGTAGGGAACATTTTCTAGAAATGTTGCCCTAAAAATAAAATTAATTTTGCACAAATATTTGTCCCTCCTCTTGAGACTTTGTTGCACTGTACAATGAGGGAAAAAGGATTCTTCTTGTTCTGCCTGATATAAAAATGGTGGCCACAATCAAGATCACATGGAAATTAAAACTTTCAGTATAGGGTAAATATGTTTGCTGGGCGTACTGYATTTAAATTGACAATATTACTTCAAGTTATTCTCCAACTGATTAAAGCAAACGTTGACTGTAAGGCACTATTTATTTTGAGTAGTGTTTGTAGTTCTGCGTTTCTCCTGTTTGTGGAGCTATACTTTAAAAATATACACTAAAGTTAGTCTGCCAACTTTATGTCTTATGCCTTAAACAAAAAGATAGATTTAGCGCTAACTGTTCATTGTTTTTAACTTTAGCCATCACTGAACAAGCTTTATATGGAGAGAATGTTTTAGCTGTGGGTGTTGCTGCCTAGATATTGTGAAAATCTTGAATGTTCTAGGATGCTTTTAGGAACTATGTACACATCAAGTGCAGGGTATTTGCAAAAGTTGTAAATACAAGMACTGAATAACTCATCTCTTTAATAGTGTCCTGTTCCTTTCTACACAGTCTAGCAACCAGTGCACGCACAAAAAATCTCTAGTCCAACAACGACAATTTGGTGACTTTAGAAATATTTTAAATGCATCTGTTCTTTCAGACATRCTGCAAAAGCAAATTGCAGCAAGGCAAGATGATCTTTAGAGGTCTCTTCCGACGTCAGCTGTGCTGTGGTTCTGTGGAGGSGAGCAAACAGAACGAGCTGTCAGTTTTAAGCAGTGCTGGGGTCCCAGGTGTCTTTTGGGTGTCTTCTACAGCCCCGAGGGTGGTTTATTAGATGCTAATTTGAAAAAGATCGTTATCTTATCCTCTTCTTTAGTGCTAGGGTTCCTGGAAATATTGCTGCTGAATATGTTTGGGAACTTCTGTTTCAGACCCTATCCAGGGAAGATTGATTTTTGCATCAAAATCTTTAATTTTCCCCTTTTGTGCTCTAGCCTGCCATCCTGTTGCAAGTCTTTTGACTGCAGGAGCTGCCACTTTTCCTCCTAAGMCCCTGATCTGGGGAGATGATGATACGTATTTTGGCCTGGGAATCAGAGCTTATCCCAGCAGCTGTTCCCAGCTCTGCCAAGGAGCAGACAAACACGTGATCGGGATTCAATTGCTCTGTGGTTACATTGTGAACAAGAAACGGGGCTTTTGCTGGAGAATCCAGAATATCTCTTATATGTAAAAACACATACTGGACACTATGCTTTTCTTATTGTGTTTTCTAATTATATTCTTTCAAGTCATGCTCGGTTATTTTAAACGTGGAAGGATAGTATTTTAGTATGGTAGCAAAAAGCTGAAGAACTTGCTTACTGACTTTTGATAGTCTTATTTTTAAGATACCARTAGGTTAAAGAAAAGTTCTGGTTTCTTTTCCCCTTTATTTTGTATTCCTTGTATCTTTAACTTTTAATTATTATTTTTAGAAGTGGAAAATATGTCTACAAGCCCATAATGAATCAAACGTGTTGTCCTCAATATACAATAAGGTAAGAGACCCTGAATGTTATTGCTRTTTGAATTGTGATTGATTTGACTGCTTCAGGTGTGTCCAACCATAAACTGTCTTTTGTTGCTCTAGGTACGCAAGACTTGAAAGATTAACTTATTCTTAGTTATAGTTTAAATATTAAACACGTACCTCTAGGCTCTTGTACAGACACATTAGAGAGTCTGTAATATTTTCCTGTAAGCAGCCTGTAAGCGTTACAAAGTAATGTTTGTGCCCTTGCCTCTTGCTTCCAGATTGCAGTCCTGTGACTGCTTTCTTGCTCACTGGTTGCAGATGAGATAGTGTGTCTATATGCCCCAAAAACTGCTTTTAGTAGCCTGAGCAAGAGAGCCTCTCAACTGAATTATTGGTATGAATAATTTCTCTAGATCTATTTTTATGACATTAGGAGGCAAACTGTTATTATCAGTTCTGCATCCATTAGATGTGGAAAGACTCCAGTATATCAGCCTCCTAGAAAACAAACAACATCGTTCCTACAGTTACTAAGGCCGTCCTKATGTCTCTTAGCAATTATGGTGTATGTGACTATAAAGATAAACATTAAGCAATACAAGGCAGCAGAATTCTGCTCATTCAAGAGCATTGATAGAATATGTGACTGTTTATCGTAGGAAAGAGTAAAATATTAAAAAAAAAAGCATGAGAAAACCAGGAAATGCACAAACAATGCATTATAAGTGGTTCTTTACATTTTTCTGAAATAAAACTTATCAAAATAAATAGATGAATAAAGTGTTTTCTTCTTTTAAGATGCCAGGCTTTGCATTTTCAGACCTCCAAATCTCACAAGAAAGTTCTGAAAAAAATGTTGAAATTTCTTTCTAAAGGAGATGTTTCAAAAGCTGTGGCTGGAGGTAAGACACTCCTCGCGTTCGAAAACCAAGGCTAACGTTTAAAATGAGRATCAAGTTCCTGTGTTGTCTGAGTGGTTAAGACAACCTGTCTGACTCTTTACAAACGTGGAAGTGAATCTTTACAGACTGTTTTGAATCAAGGGTAGGGGCCATGTAGCCCAGAGAACAAATTTTGGGGTGGCTGATGTTCTGCTGTTTTCTACCTGTACTGAGACCAAGACTGGGTAGTCTGTGTTCTCTGGGTTGCAGTGGTGCTGATGTTTATTCTGCAGCATTATTTATTTGTTTATTTTTATTTTTTATTTATGGCACAAGATTAGTGAAGACCATCCAGTTTTAGAGTGAATGAAACTGTTCATATTTATGGGCTGATATTGGTAATTCAGTGTTACAAAGGAAGCTTGTAGTATTTAGACTGGGAGACTGTTTATCTGTTGCAAAACAGTTGTAAAATTAGTAGTCTAGTATTAACATTAGCTGTGCACAGTGTGAGCTGTCAATGTACAGAGAGAAATTCACCTAGTTTTTTACCATTCTTTACTTACAGAAGAACCTATGGATTCCCATATAGAGGATATAGTCTCAGACAATTATGAATACAGAAATGAATCCCATGTCAGTCAGGCTGAATTGACACCCTTCAGTGTGGATGACACAGAGAGAGTGGAGACTGAAGACAAGGAAAAAGAGGAAGTAAAAGACGAGGTGAATGTGAAGAAAGTGGAATCAGGTTCTCTTCAGATCCATGGAGCTGAGGACACAGCAGCCCCTGGAGAATCATCACATTTGACTAAAACTGCCCATGCGTTGCCCAAACCAGGTATTCAAATTCCCTGCAGCAATTGAAATATTTCATTATTGTTTCCTATGTTAAATCCTTCCTTGTGTTGTCTGGTGAATCAAGAATTATTCCTTTTTATTCCACATACTCTTCACAATTTATAGAGTGACAGCGTATAAATTTAGAAGTGCTGCATGTTACGTGGTTTGTTAGATTGTCCCGAAAGTGTCTTTATATTTGTTATATTTGTTTAATTTGATATCATAGTTTAGTTAGTGAGGACATACATCTACATATAGTAGTCACCTTTACCTCTAAAATATTTAGGTTGTAGTCAAATAGCTCAAGGTGATCAAACTTCATCAGACCTGTTTCCAGTTTAAGGCACCTCCGTGTATGGAGCAGGGTGTATTTTCAGCTCTTCCCTTCATTCCGGGCAGATGTGATGACTAGGGCTGTGTGCTCCTTGATAGGAGTTGGTGTGAGCCTGGCTCTTGGATCAGCCCCCGTAGGCTGACGAGTTGTTTCCCTCTTCCAGAGAGGTGAGAGGCACCTGGGGCCCATGCGGAGCTGCGGGCTGCTTAACCTTGTCCCGTGCAGCAGTAGGAAACCCAAACAAGGTCTAAAAGGTCTTAATTATTGTCACCATTTTATTTTGTTTCTACAAATTATCTTATCCTACTGATTCCTGTTTAACTTATTTAGACTTCTTTATGGAAGGATTTTTTTTTTTAATTCTATAATAGATTAATGTCACAGACCTTTCTGCCATTGGAAATATGTTCAGTATTTTACTGTGCTTTCAGTTTTAATGCTTAGAAGAAGCTGTATAGCTTTCTGTTGATAGTAAAAAGGACTTTTGCAGGTGGCTTGTTTTGTCTGCCCAGCTCTTCTCTTGTATTTTGATTGTGTTCTTGTGAGATTCTGCACTTTCTGGAAGGAAGGTAAAAGATCTCTATAGGTGTTGCCCTCAAAATTGCCCTATCAAAATAATTGATTTGATCAGCATGCTAGGCTGGAAAAGGAAGTGGGTAAGTTACTCTTATAGCCCAAGGATTGCACAGTAGGAATCCTTCTTTTAGGGATAGTGCTTTCAGCTATGCCTAGTATSCACAGTGGGAAATAATGGCAGCCACAATCCCTGGAAACCCAGAGGACTTTGGAATTTCTACATCTTTTGGCAGGTAATACCAATATCTAATTTCACTCAGGTATTCTATGTTAAAAATGCCTTTGTCTTCACAAGAATTTTGTTTTCTCTTTCTTATAATTTGGCWAATTCTAAGTAAAAGATTTTTTTTYCCATGATTATACTGATACTCTTTAGATGAGAATTTCACTAGTTTAACAATCAATTATGCACCTAAACAAAAGGAAGGGCTTCAGAAATGGTCAGCCAGAAAACCAGCAGCAGTATTGCATGGAAAACTTGTCTGAAATTGTGTTTTAGATCTTTATTTTTAAAAGGCAGTTGATTTATGCTAGAGTTTTAATGTACCCGTTGAAGAAATTTTCAAAATGCTGCTCTTTTAAAAATTATTAATAGCAAAACTTTGGGTTATGTAGACGTCATTATAGAAACAAACGAAGTGCAGATTGGCAGCAAGTGGCAGTCTTGAGTAAAGAGTATTAGTGTAAACCTGACATTGCTTTGAGAAAGGCAAGGTATGGTCTTCAATTATATTAAGAATAACATTGTGTAAAACTTTAAACAAAGGAAAGGAGGTAAAGGAAGTTGGAAACATTGTTTGTATTTAGTTTTTTAAAAAGGGGAGGGGAAAAGGGGAAATATTACTGTGCTTTTTTTCTCTCTGCAGATTTTAGAGGAAATACAATGAATAATAAATGTATTAGCAATCTTACTTAGTTTATCTTTAATTCTTTTATTTTTTGTTTTTAAGAGTAATTGGTGTCACAGGTCAAACTTAGTTCAAAATTTTCCAGATAGAAAGGTGTTTAGTTTTCATCTTGGAAAATGTAGACATAYTCCATAGTAAGATTGTTTAATTGCATTTTTATTCCTATATAAACAAAACAGGTCATTGTCCTATAGGAATAATGGGCTGTTTCTGCACAGTTTCAGGTAGAGAAGAAAGTTTGCTTATGTCTGCATGCAGCACCCGTTGTTTTAAGCTTTCCTTGCTAACTTCTATAGCTTATAGGAGAYGCAAAACAGACCCTGAGCCAGATGAAGCACTCGGTATTTTAAATAAACTCTTCCATGGATGACTTTGCCCACCGACTGGTCACATAATTTTCTCCTAATGCTTCTCTTTTTTTGGTGAATACCTTTAGCTATGTGGAGGAAGCAAATACTCCAAAACATTATGTGAGGGGCAAAGATGCTCAGTTATAACTTTGCTCATGTAATGAAGGAAGTGTGAAGAACATGCACGTGGTATTAGCTCTTTCTGCAAGTTCCTGAGCTGCTCTCAGCATTTCAGCTCTCTGGAGCATCCATGGGGGAGCCRTGAAGACCTGGCTGCTGCACTTCTCCCGTCTGGAGAGCTTCCCATGGCTCAAATGCTGAGCGTCCTTGACTGAGCAACAGCAGACGTTGGTAAAAATGCATTTGGGCAAAGCACTTCGGCATACCCTTGTTTTCTATGTTAGATTTCAGATTTCTTGGTCTTATTTTTCTCTTACATCTCCGTCTCCAAAAGGGCCACAGCACTACAGAAAACTGGCTTATGCTCTGAGTTTTGTGCATTTGACGCTGTGCTTTGGAAAATGCTGCTACGTGTTCTGGGACCAGAATCTTTTAAAACAGAACAARATAACCTCCCTCCAAATCAAAAAGCCAAAAGGAAAACCCGCCTTTTGCCAGTCCTGGGAGTTATTCCTCACAAATGTCTAGGGTGAATTAAGCCATCACATTTGCCTGGTGTAGGCATCAAAAAGAATAATTTTCCAGTGTTACTGATGCTTGAGAATTGATTTCAATTTAAACGAGGCACAGAATATTTTGACAAGTGTTTGCAGTGTGTCCATTTGTACACAAAGATGCAAGCAGCACCTCTGGAGGCTACAATTCTTTGTAAATAAACTAAATCCTAAACATCAATGAGCATTTAAAATATCAACACTCTCCATTTCCAGCTTGCAAAAGGAAACAAATGTTCCCCTTGTCCATGGAGGTGGGTTGAAATGCAGAGGGTGAGAAAGGTGTCGTGTTTGGCCAATAAGTTACCAGTAAGAGGAGGGACAGGGGGAAAAAGCTTAACATTTTCATGGAAATTCTGTGAGAAATAATTCCCATGGAGTTTTCAGGCTTTGAGAGCYAGCCATGGTTAAATCTGCGTTTGGATTATCTCTTATTTCTTACAGATATTAGCAGAGTTTCAAATGTGTCGCCACCTTTGTGCTTCAAATGGAAGCATTTCGCCTTACAGGGGACTTGCGTTYGCATTTAAAGAGGTCAGCCTTTCAGAGGCTGCCAGCGTGAGCCTCCTCACAGGCTTCAGGAGAACGAACACTAAGGTCATAAAAACCATCTCGAGCAGTTTGCCGTAGTATTTAAGATTTCTTTGCTCTGTACAAGATGTATGACTCCGTATTTCCCTATGGGGACGTATTCTTTTTTTTCCATTCTTCCTGTCGTTACTAAATCCTTAATATTACGGTGCTTTTTTAGCCTGCAGCTCATCCACCAGCACGTCAGAGAGACAGAAAGCAGAATTAGATTTATTTGTTTTGCTTTAGCTGTTTTTAATACAATTTTGAATGTAACTCCTCCTCTGCTTAGAGCAACTCTCCCTATTGCAAAGAACTTTTCACAGCAAGTGCAAGGCCTTTGCTCAGCTTGTGGAGTAAGATGTTCAGCTGTCTGGAATAGTTAATTTGTTAACTTTGTGATGCTATTGTATGTGTAGAATTAACTTCCCTCTTTAGTTGAAGAATTTGGAGCACACTGCATTTATAATTCTAGATGCTGTTTGGATTTGTGTTCCTGGAATACTGTTCTGAAATACTCTTTCCGTGTTGATCCCCCTGTTTTCTAGGTTTGACTTTGCTTTTAAATAAACCCCGTTTCACAAATAGAACTTCATGAGCAGTTGATCTGCTACAGATACTGGGAGATAGATTGGTAAAATCTATTAGTGAAAACAGAGAAACTGAGATAAGTCTGTGGCCTTTTACAGCATGACATCAGCAGCTGTTTGGATAGAGAAGATCTCTACCCYGTTGAGCAAACAGGAGCTTTTCTCTGCTTGCGTGGTCTGACAGTGTAAGCAAAAAGCTGAAGGAAGTTTTCTAAATTATTGTTTTTTAAATATGGGATCAGGGTCAATGTGTTTCCATATTAGTTGGGAAATTATCTGACCTTTCGTGTTCATTCAAAGGAAGGTGCTATTTCTGGTTTGCAGCATTCGACGGCAGTAGAAGATCATTGCATCGTTTAGCTTGGCACTGGGCATAAATAAGGGCCCATGGGCAGTAAATTTTAAGAATCACACTGTTTTCAGACTGTGCACTTCAGTTAATGATAACTTTATTTTCTATTCAGTCGCCATGCAAGAACTGCTTGTTTTTTTGCAGAATGTGGTATTGAGTTCTCTATTTGTGTCCTTTCAGGCAAAGGGGCTGATCTGAGCAAGCCACCCTGTCGGAAAGCCAAGGACATACGGAAGGAAAGGAAACTGCAAAAGCTCCTTCAGAACCAGACGTGCGTGTGCGATGGCCCTGCCCTTCAGGCAGGAGATCAGGCTTTACTCTTRCAAAACTCTAAATCTAAAGCAAATCAACCTAAAACCATTGAAGACTTCATTTTTGCCTCTCTGCCTGATGATGCAGTGCACAAATTAGAGGTAATGATATTAAATGTTGAAGGTTAAATAAGGAAAAGTCTAGTTAAGGATTTTTTTTCTTAACTTAGGCTTAGATATTTATTACCTGTGGTGCCATGGAAAAGTTTTAGTTAAAAATCTTAAAATCAAAGGCCAAAAATTTCAATTCAGCTGAGAAACCACATGAGGGCACTCTTGCTTTAGGCTTAGCAGACACTTAACACTTTTGAATTGATTTCATACCCTGTGCCTTGAAAAATAAAGACTTGGAAGTAATTGAGTGTTGAATGATGAGAGATTCAATATTTAGTTCTGAAGTGTATAAATACTTAAATTATTTATGTTAGCAAATCTGGACAGGAAAACAGTAACAGTTTGTAAAACTAAACCGATAAGAAGATAGCTCTTTGTAAGTGTTGTTGGTGTGTGTTGATGACTCTGACAGCTATAAAAATTAGGGCAGAAAATTTTATTTACTTAAATATTGCAGTTTCCATTAAGTCCTAGTAATATAAAGATAGTAATCTAGAAAACTTTTAAACTTCCTGCCCCTTATTAATCATGACACCATTTTTTTTCTGAAAATTGAAAAGCCTGTTTTCCTGTAGTTTTTGATCAATGCTAGTGGGAAATTGCATCTTAAATACTCTTCTGGTACGTATTTAAGAGCATAGTGATGGTGATTTAAAAGATTCACCCTAAGTAATTGATAATAAGCCATGGAATTGATTTATTTCACTAAAACTTGCTGGTTTTTACTAAGAACTGTGGTGTGGTAGTTGAGKGTTTTTGTGTATGACTGGGGTGTTTAGGTTTTTATTCTTTTGGTAAGAATGGTTGTCAGGACGTTGGGATTGTACTCTTGCATTTCAGTGGTAACTGAATACTGAATATGGGAGCATTTTTGCCTCTTCTCTTTCTGATTTGAAAAATACGTAGTGTTCCCCTTGACATTACTGCAATACAGAAATGGCCTTTATCCAAGGGGTAGAGAGATGAATTTTTCTAATGCGTATATTTTTTAGCTTTTTCTTAATATGCTACAATAAGAGCAGATTTTAAAAAAATGCAGATTTTTTTTCTTTAAATGTTGTTTTACCTGTTGTTGTTTATCGAAAAGTATTTGTGTATTTCTTTCATAGGTATTTTGGTTATCGTAATTCATATCAGGATCATTTCAGGATCTTGTATTACAATGTTGCATATATTTGTGTAGTTACTGTGACACTGTAATAATGATTGTTTTTAACCTCTTCTGAAGGTGAGGGTGGTGAGATCATCTCCACCAAGTTCACAGTTCAAAGCCACGTTTCAGGAGTCTTACCAGGTCTATAAACGTTACCAGATGGTCATTCACAAGGACCCACCTGATAAACCAACTATAAATCAGGTCAGAAGGCCAAATGAATTTATGCAAACGTCAGCTCCCCCTCCATTTCATGTCTTACATAGAGTCTAGGAGAATTATCCTTTTATACTCCTAACCATGTAAAATCTACCAAATAAAAACAACATCCGGAAAGTGCAAACTCTTTGGTGGGTGCCACAGATATTTGGTTTTAATTGCAGACAGATAAGACAGCTGTGTAGTGACACTGTTGGTTTTTGTAGATAATTTGTGGGCCTTACAAATACAGATCTCCAAAGAATTAAAAGTAGATAGATTTACAGTCAGTCAGGACACAGAAGTCAGGAATAAAAGCATGGAGAGCAAGAATGTGTAGCTGCCATACTGAAAAAAATCAGTATTGTGCCATTAAAAAATACTATCTTTGAAATTCTATAATAAAACCAGAAAATGTTGATATATTAGATACTTCCTCACAAAATTATCTGGATAAATTAATACTTTGGAGTATTCTAGCATTACATATATACTTTTTTCTTTAATGAAGTTATCGACAGTCAGTTGATGCTGATTGAATTGCAGTATTTAATAAACTTCCCGTGGTTATTCTATCTAAAAGAGAATACTGACTTCAGAGGCTTTGAAACGGATAGGAGGAGATCTTACACTAGCCTTACCTTCAGAAGCAAAGTATGTGATTAAATGCGCTCAAAATAGTCTGCTTTGTATTTTCCTTGCTCTGAAGGTGAGGTTAGTACCTGTCTCCTTTGAGGACCCCCAGTTCAAATCATCCTTCAGCCAGTCAGCCGCTTTATTTGCCAAGTATCAGATGGCCATACACAAGGATGCTCCTTCTGAGTGTGGCGAGAACGAGGTACAGTTCCCTGCATGCACCTTTATCAATTATTTTCACAATGTTCAGGTTAATGRTTGGAGATGGTGGCTCTGAGAGTGCTTCTCAATAGTATGATGTTGCACTTACCTTTGGGAGGGAAAACATCAGGTTTTTAGGAAGCTTCCGTGCTTGGCTTCAACCCATGGGTAACTGAGCTGGAGAGAGAGCTGTCATAGCAAATACGTAAGTAATGAGGCTTGATATTGAAATATCCAGTGGAAATAGTCTAATGGAATGGATTTTTTTTCCAGAAGACTTTTCCATTCTGAAGGTGTTTAGTGCCTCTTTCCTCATTTCTCCTTATTTTGACATTGTCTTGCCTTTTTTAATAGATTAAGATTTTTAAAACCTCATTTTTATTTATATTTCATYGCTAACGATCCCTCTTAAATCTACCCCTCCACAGTGGGAACAGCATAGAGACATTACCACGGGCAGAATGAACAGGGACACCGTGGATTTAAGTGTTCCCGTTAGCAGAATTCCCCAAACTCGGATCTCCGATCTAGCATTTCYCTGTGCTCTGAGATGCCAGTATTGATCCGCTGTCTAGTCATCAACTCCTCTGTTCTGGAGAGTGAGACTTACTGAAGTGATACCCAGCAGGCTGAGGCTGCTTTCCAGGTCGGGTAATAAAACACATAGCCGTTTTCTGGTTTTAGTTCAAAAGAGAGCGTAGGTTTTGTGCGGCATCTTTGAAATGCTACTGGGGAAAGCCATCAAATGGCCTCACTTTGTTTTGTACAATAAAAWAAAATGACACAACAACACTAAACAGTCCCTGCCCTTTTAAAATTATCCGACATAACTATAGTTTATTAAAATATGGTGAAATTTGGAAACATATAAAGAAAGTCTGAGATATTTGTGAGATTTGTGATTGGCACTAGCTGGTCTGACTAGTAACTTGACTGGTCTCATACAATGGATGTATTTCCATCCATTGGGAGGGATGGAAATAGACATTCCATCTATTTCCGTCTATTTCCATTATTTGCCATTAAGTCTAGATATGGTTGAGACTCACCCATGCTTTTGCTACAAAAATCTTCATACAAAGAGAGAGTGATAATGCATTTAGCCCTCCCCAAAGGAAAAAAAAATAACACCCGCCCTCCCCTTTTTAAATTTTTTAAGTGAGAGAGTTAAGAGGATGAAATCATAGATTAGGGACGGTTCCCTTCTCCACTCTCACAAGGTGTGAAGTCTGTTGCACATTACGTATTTTTAAATCGCAAGGAGATTAATTTCTGTTCATACTGTTACTAGTTTAAGAATTTGATTTTGGAGACCTTTTTGTACTGATGTCTGGTGGAAATGTGAAAACTCCTCTGGCTGACGGTGATTTCTAAGTTAAAGATAGTTCTGGAACACTAGTCAGTCCTGTTAAGCTCAGTTCTTCAAGGGAGTTCTGTGCTTGGTTGTGATGATCTTTCTATTCACAGTTTCTGGGCTCTAAAGCTCAGTCACTGTCCTTCAGACAAACAGGTTCTGTATTTCATCCCTGCAGGAAGTAAACTGAAGAATTTTATCACACAAGATGTATTTTGGTGCATGTTAGAAGCCTTAAYATTGTGTACTGAAGCAATCTAGGAGAGGAATTATCTGAGACACAACAWCATAAGATACCAAATAGAGTAAAAGTGATCCAGGTTATTGAAAGGGAGAACAGAAAATGCCATCTGAAAGACCTCATTTTTTTTCTTTCTCTTTTACAGACTTTTTAATATATCATTCAGACATTATGGAGCCAAGCAATCTTTTAAGTAAAGTTAGAGTGAAATTCTGCCCAGCACATAGGGCTTTTTATCAGGGTAGTAACAAGTCTGCTTTGGGCTTTAAATTGGCAATCATCCAGGAAGCTTTAGGGTATAAAATTAAATTTAGCTTTTAATTTGTGCAAGCTATTATACCATATCTATGCATGGTGAATGAGCTTTCTATTCAGGGAAAGCTCTGTGTGCTGTTGTATTGTGAAAATCATTTAATTTTGCATTTACCTKAACTCTTCACATTCAGAAACCTACCCGTGTGTAAATTCAGAATCCAACAAAAAATGTTATAGGATATATTAATAAGCTTTTTGAAATATATTCTTAGATTATTGGCATTGCCATATACTGTCTTCCTATTTCAACTGCTAGATTGTTTGAATGTTAACTTTATTACATTAAAAAGCAAATTTAGGAATAGATTTCTGATTCTGTGGTTGGTTATTTAGAAATAACACCAACGAAGAAAGTTTACAATATTGCAATATTAACAAAATTATAAAATCTGCAGTATTAACAAAAGGTGTGTGGCCCATGAAGCTGGTTGTTGCGCAGTGAACATGAAGGCAGGCCCTCCTCCTGCTTCTATACACTGAATATAGGATTTGTCGGGAAGATTTCATATGAACAGGGGGGAGTAGGTAAGTTCCAGGACAGGAATTTCACAGAATACTTCACACCAAAGATTGTTCTGACCTGTTAGGTAGTGTCTGGTTAATGCCATTTGGAGACCCAGGATAACTGATGTTTGTGCCCTTCTGGAATTTTCCTCTTTGCTGTTACTGTGGTCGAGAAGTCCTTCAGTCAGAACGGCACCAAGGGCTTAAACAAAGGTCCTTAGCTTGATGTGTATTTTCATATATATATATATTACAGGCATATATATATATATATGCCTGTAAAATGATTTCTTGCAATATTGATCTTCTGAACTTGAGTTTTTACTCTTGCTACTACTAGTGATGGACTTCATTACCTGAATCAAAATGTCCATTAAAAGCCTAAAAGATTGTTGCTAAGATTATTACCCATGGGATTAGACACTTGAGTAAGTGGGGAAACTGGTCTCTGGATCTTAACTCCTGAGAGCAGCCTGTATCACTAAATCATTGCTGAATTGGGTGGGATTATTTGGTCAAAGCGAATAATTGGTCYTTTCCACTTTCTTTTACAACATGTGTAGTGTCTCCATCATTCCCCATATACCTGCATGGCTTTTGCTAATTCTAAGGAATTTGTTGCACATCTGGTTCTCTATTGCTGATATTTCATGACTGAAGTGAGGGCACTGTGGAACTAAGGCACTGTGGCAAACTGCATCGAATGGCACATCTGATAAGCCCCAGAACCTTTCAGATTTGGTACTTGATAATATCTATGGGATATTTCTAAGACGAATTTTAAAAAATACTGTCAATGTCATTACTGTGTGTTTTAAGATGTTCTTGTGTAAAAGTAGAGACTTTTTTCATCAAAGTCCCCAGATGTTTGGGAGGCAGAAACACTCTCTCAGGTGTTTGTTTACTTGAAGTTTCATTGGCAACAAACCCTCTCCATCCTTCACCTTAATTTAATTTGTGGTCTCATTTCAAAACCACAACTTGGATTTGCCRTTTCATTCCTTGAGCCTGCATGTGGGTGAGAGAGAGTAAGTGAAGATAAGCTGCTTACAAAGGTAGTTTATTAACTGTTAAAAGAAATATTAGAAAATAAACTTTTTTTTCCCGTTTAGAAGACGAGCTTTGCCTTCCTAGTAAACAATTTCTTCGGTGGCCCATAAATTGTCTGTTTGCCTCCTGCTCTGTAAAATAACATCAGAACCACAACACTAACGCTTTTTTATTAAGAATAAGCTATATTGGAAACCTATAAGTTTGTCCAATCAAGCRGTGGCTATTTAAAGGTCAAGATGGAGTAGGAAAAGAAGCTTGGTATAACTCTTTAGTTCATCTGGTAGTCAAGATTTCCTCTCATAAAAAGCAAAAGAGAGAGGAGAGAAAAAAAAAAAAAGATACTTTCAGGAGTTTGACTCATTCCAAAATTTGTGATTAATGTACACTCATAGCTAAAAAAGTAAGACTGAATTTTCCTTAGGGCAGACTTGTARCTTATATATAGCTTATTTATATCTTAATCATATTGCTATTAAAAAAAGTCAGTTTTAGATACCAGTTTACCTTGATAGTTAATAAATAAAGCCCTCCCAGTGAGCTACAGCTTTAAAACTATATTCTCTGATAATACTGTTTATGTGATTCTCTGTGAGGAAATAGATGGAATTGAGCTGTGTGTGCAGTGAGGAGGTGCTGTAGTGCTCTGTTTGCTGAACAAGAGAGTTCCTGGGCAAGATGCAATTTGGAGAATATATCATAGGTCATGTATTGCAATAGATTCTGTGCATCCTTCCATTAAACAAGCATTAAGTCTTTCTCTCTATTACCAATGAAAATCAATTGAAAGACTCATTATATATGTGATCAGCAGATCAACAGCACCATAATTACACAAACAAGTTGTATGAATGAAATTATCCGCTATTTTTTTGATTATTTGTTGCAATAAATCTAGTCATAAATCGTAATTATAAGTAAAGCTTTGCCGTAATAAATCATGCTCAGAGGAGGAAGGGAAGCTGGGCCAATTTGCATCTTAACATTTGATTATCTCTGGGAGAGAGATTTGTCTCTTTTCCAGTGAATTGAGTGTTTGCCTAGGTTAAAACACTGATACATTACATGTAGTTCCTGAGTGTGGTTTTTAGGCTTTAAGGTTTTTTATAGTAGTTTATCTTCCAGAAACATAGGTGCRGTGTAAATGAAACAAGCTATGTGGCAGCTACACCAGTTAGAAAACATTTCCATAAACCATCATAAAAATTCTGCAGGAGTTTCTAGAAAGAGCCAGAGTGAACAGTTTATTGCTGTTGAGACACAGAAGCAAGCATTTTATTTAACTTTTCAGTGGTGTTTTGTAATGACAAGCTCGTAGAAAAATAGTATGCGTTGCAGTTCCCACTGCTGGGCTAGCTGGACACTCTCTTTACTTTGTGCTTAGCTAAATATTTGTCTTGGAAGAAAAGAATTTAACAACATACAAAAGATACCCTGTTTGAAAAGGTGCAAAGAATTACTGAAATAGGAATTTTTTTAATTGCCTCCTCAAAATGCACTAGAACTAATATGGAAAACTGAATAAGAAGTCTTAAGAAATGCCCAGAAGCATGTTTTGATCATCCTGAAGGTTATATTACCAAAAAAAAAAAAAAAAAAAAAAAAAGTACTGAATTGACTTATTTAAGTCTGTTAAGTCTTTTTTATAAGGCTGTCAGATTTTCTTCTGAGAAGACAAGGTTGCAGGAATTTTTTTTTTCCTCACTCCATAAGGGATTTGAAACTGTAATTCTGAAATGTAAGTTCTGTCCTTCAGGATTTTTTTTTTTAATTCAGTCAAATTCTTGTTTGAAAAACTGCATTTGAGTCACGGACTTGAACTTTAACCCCCCACATTTCTTATGTAGGGTGTTTTGGAAACACTTCTCCCATCATTTGGCCCCTGGGTATCTCTGCAGCTGTGGTCTGGCACCATTGGGGTGCTTGTGTCACTGTCAAAAATGCCAAACAGGGCCTGCCCTCACGCCTTGCACCATCTGTTCATATGAACCTGCTGCATTTCATCCCATTTGCTATTTATGACCGYGTTTTTAGTAATTATTAAAATGTTACAGAATTTGCTTCATTCTTCGGATTAATTCAGTAAAGCTTCATAATATTTTCTAACATTAATGTCTAGCCTTATTCGGCCTAGCCTGGTTTGATCCAGGTCTTTATTTTTCTTTTTCGTTGCGTATTTTTTTTACTCTTGTCACTCCACAACACTAGAGTTCAAACTGATTATAAATAGCGACTGTTTCTGATAGAGGAGATGATTTCTTTTAAAATATATCAGCCCACATGCATGTGTAAAACAGATCCTCCCCTATCTCACAGGACGAGTTGCTTGTTCATACTTTTATAATAAACTAAGGCACAACCAAACACCTTGTGCACTTCAGACTCGCTCAGAACTTAGGTTAAAATGGGCTTGAAGCCTGTATCTTTTTCATAAGATCATTTATTAATCAATATTAAATTTTCCTTACAAATCAGTTACAAATCAGTATTAAATTTTTCTTACAAATAAGAGCAAAACCTCATGCTATCAAAAATAAAATTTTAAGTAGATGCCTTTCTGTGATGTCTTCTTGCTGACTATTTCAGCTAATTTTATTGGTGATGAAAGCTCAAAGCTGTTTTAACTTCGTAAAAAGGTGATTCTGTTTTAGTGGCAAATTTTGCTTTTAAAAAGCTAATGTCCTAAGAGGTGAAGCCCGTTCTGCTTTAAYCTCCGAAGCATCTGACTGCTCTCCCACCTGTAAAATAAAGTAGTTGATAATAATCCAATTTTATTGCAGATTTTAGATGTCAACATTTACCCTTACTCTAGCAGTTGCCTTTGCGTTGAAACTAAATCTTCCTCTTATTTTTCTTCATTTTTACCTGTTGTTTTACCTCTTAACGATGTGTTCATCTCTTAGGTTTATATGTATCTATCTCTTAGATATGTTTTATTTTTTTCCACTTTGTTCAGAAAACAGTCATGGATTCTTTATGGCATTCTTAATTAGTTGGCACAAAAATAACAATATTGATTTCATATGTATCCTGGTTTATATAAAGTTAAATTTTATGTAATTCAGTTTGGAATTTGAAAGTTTTTCTAGCCAACAATAGAGATAGCTGCAACTTCATATATTCCCTGGAAAGCAGAACTTTCAGATGTACGTAGGAAAAAATTCCCTTCCTCCCCCCAAAACACACGCAAAAAAAGCAATTGTAGAGCATGGCCTGGAGACTCARTAAAGCTATTTGAAAAGTGGTTGGCTCCGTTTGCTCACCCATAGGGTTTGACTTGGGCTATAAAGCTACAGTTACAGATTAAGAACTATTGGGGGTCTTCTGACATCAAAATTAATAACACATGTTTTGATTTTTTTTCCTGGTGCCTGCACATTCTAAAATTATTGGCTGTAATGACTGATACACTAGCAGTGTAGGAATTTATAAATCTCTCTTCTTTTTTTGATGGAAATGTAATAATTTGAATTGCGAATTACTGTTTTTCTCRAGTATCCCCTGCCCCAACCCTTTGTCCTTGTCCCTCAAATCCGTAAAGATTCTAAACTCAATTGAGATATTGCAACCATTCATTTTTCCTGCCTTCTGATAAAACTTAGACTAACTCAGGGTCCCCAGTACTCTGTGAGTGAATCAGAATGCCCAATTATAGGTGCTAGAGAGTATTGTTGTCTRTAGTAGCAGCTTACAGAAATTCCGTATTCATCCCTAAACCACGTGTCCAAATATTTACCATTCATGTGCAGATCAACTAGTGAGCTATTTCTGTGTGTTCAAGAGAGGACTTGAATGTAATTAGTGTTGTGGAAAAATCTGAAATCTGCAAAGTCTTCATTTTTTTCAGCATCTACTGTATTATATGTTTCAGGGCCTCTTCATTACAGATACGGTTCATCGCCCGCTTTATACTGTGCTGGCAGTATTCCAGTTAATGTTTGCAATGCATACACCTACCAGAGGCTGCATTTTTATTTCTAAAAGCTATTTAATATTTTAAAACATTTTATTCAAATAYACACTTTCTGTAGAAAGAGGAAGTTTGGATTATTTACCCTGTACATAAAGCTTTGTCCTAAATCAACAGTTTGTGATACTGGGACTCCTCACTGTTGCTTTCCTTAATATCATAAATGTGTTGTATATGGAATCTATCAATATGGAGCCATTCCTATCAAATAGGTAACTGGTGATAACTAAAAAACTTTATTATTCTCACAATTTTGACCAAGCTTCAAATCAGAAGCTCCAAACTTTGCTTTTGGTTTGATCTGTGGCACCTCRCTTTGAGTTAGGGGTCTAGTTCTGGAAACCCTTGCACTTTCAGGASGTTGGGTTCTTTTCCCACCTGTGCTTGAACAGGCTTGCTTGTGATTTTTGAATGCAAATACTCCTTAATTTCTCCTAAGACATTCTGGGGTCCTAAAAGCCTTGCTGTGGTGATTGGGGTGGTCGCAGTGGACGTGTAGGTTAAGTAGTTGCAGAGAAGGAAGAAGCAAATGCGTAGGAATTAATTTAAAATAAAAGAAACCAGAACCACGCTTGCGTTAGAACGTTATAATACTCTCATGTTCTAGAAATCTTTTGAAAAATCTTTTTCTATTTTGTATCTAGATGAGTCTGAAGTACTTGGAATGGTTTAGCATTTCAGCTGTTGGTACTGGTTAGCAAGATGGGATGTGGCAATTCATTTCTGTAAGCCTCATTTGAACTCTTGGTATCTTTCAAATATATAGTTTTGAAAAATATATGTTCATCTCTTAATATATCCTAAAGAATTATTATTGCTAATATATTCTTGTTTTTCTGCTTTACTTTTGTGGACTGTCATCTTGGGGATTACTTGAAAATTTGCGTGTTTCTGGCTAACCTGGTGCAGTTCACGCGATTCCTCTGTGATTCTCCGCTTGAGGTACGTATGAATTTTAGGATTAAGTTGTGAAATGCATTCTTTTTTTACCCCCCTCTACAATTTCCCTGGATAATAAACCGTTATGGATGTAGTTTCGGTATTGTGGTGTTTGTGTCATCACCAGATGGTAAGGAAGGTACGTGGTGTTATCAGAGAAGTCTGAGGAGCTGAATAATGAACTTCCACTGAATTTCATATTACTGCTGTACAGACTAATAGCAGGAAAGAAAGTGCTGTTTTGGGAGGAGAATTTCTTTTTCTGTGAAAGAAAATATTACTGAATATCTTTTTGAACTTGTATTTAACCACGTTTTGAGCTACGAGTTTAGGAGAGTTGATATTGCTTCAGTTCCAGCAAACAAACTCTAAGGAGATTTGTGGYACCGTTTTTCTTGTTAGTCTTAAAGAGTTAAGTACCGCGTGACTCTAATGAAATTGTCAGGTTATAGTAATTACGCTGGTAATTTGATATGTTGCAGTTTGAATGAAGCCATGTGTGGAGAGTCTGTTGCTTTTCTCTGCCGAGTCCCCTTGCCTTTACATTCCTGAAAGCTGAAGAGTAATAGAGCTCATTAGGCTTTATAGGAAAGGGGCTTTTATCACCTCGTCAACTCCAGCAGCAGATTTCCATTATATTCTTAATTTCGTATGGCTGCATAGATGTTGATGCACGCTTCCCTCCCAGGTTTATACCAGTATTGTTTCTTACAGACACTTTTTATTGACATTTTGAAGCTTGAATTAAATTTTGTGTGGCACCACTACACATGTCTTCAATTAGAAGATGTTAAATAAAAGGGTTATATATATCAGAGGCCAAGGGATTCTTGAAATTCTTTATCCTAAAGCGGTTGCCACAAGCAAAACTAGTAGTGTGCTYTCTGTTTACTTTTGAGCAAAAATAATTTTAAATATTTTGAAATCAAGTTTAAAGCTTAAATTATTTCGATTTGCATTAAAGAAATGTATATGACTACTCAAATGCTTTGTTTTCTCCCCCTCTTCCCCCGTTTTTTAAAGTTACTCATTTTGCTCTCAATTTTAGCTATTTGCTCTATAACAAAGAATGTCTAGTTCTAAAAAATGATACCGTGTGCAGTAGCAGAAAATTAGGTAGTTTTCTAGTAGTGAACAGGATACTGTAGTTTCTGAACTGTTTGTTTTTTGTTTGCTTTTCCTTCCCCCTTAGATGCTACATTTAATTATTTGCTCTTTTATCACCTCTTTTGGGAAACCAGATTATAAAGGCTCAGTGCAGGCTCGTGGCTTGCATGAGTCTGCCATGGAAGGCTGGGTGCTGTGTTGCTGTATCGATATAAGATGTTCTGAACTTAATCTAAAGAAGTATATAAAGGAGTRTAAATTGATCTCATAGGATTTATCACCATCTTCCCATAATGAATTAAATGTGTATTCTATCTTTTGAGCATTTTCTTTTCCGAAGTTGAGAGCCGTGGCTTCTTCAGAGTGTGTGGAAGTTGTTGTCCTTTCTGATGCTACTTTCACCATTTTTATATTCTCTTTTGCTACATCTACAGTATCACTTCTGAGTTATATTGATTAAAACTAGTCTCCAAATTTAGATGCATGATGGAATTGCACTGCAGAATGATCACTTTTTTTCCTAAAACTCTAATTGCTCGTCAGGCTTCTTGCGTTTTGACTGATGCTGAGCATTAAGTTGATATTTTCATAAGATTGCCCTCATTATCTCAAAAAGATTTCTTTTTTAGTGTGAAATGCTAGTTTCTACCCCTTGTTCTGAATACATACTTAGCAATGTTTTTCCCRTGCATTTCACATGAGATTTTTGCACATTTGATGTTTTTTCAGTCTCTTTAATCACTTGTATCCTTGGTTATTTCTGCACCTCTTCGCACTCCATTCTTGTGTGATCTTGAATACTTTGGAACCCTCAGCATGATTTGCTTTAGCACTACTGAGGTGTCTTTGGTATAGAGAACAGAAGAATTAGTTCTGTGTTAAACTGAGTGAGCTGCTTTTCAGAATGTCAATGGTCATTTCTTCTTATTTTGGTAGTTCTTTGTATTGGGATGAGTGTTGAAAGTTGAAGAAAGTTAAAGTCATTTGTGAATCTTCATGACCTCTCTTCAAAAGCACATTGACTTCTTCTCARATTTATTATGGTTATTAACATGGTGTTAGTTCTTGGGAGATCTAATAGCAGAGGTTTGTCTGATATGGTTACAAATCTATAATTCTCTGGATTTCCTCCTAAAAAATGTCAAGTTTCAGTCATATTTTGTCTCCTTTTAGGGACAAAAACAAGTGTAAGTTATTTCCTTTTAAGTTTCTGGTAAATTTCTTTGCTTTTTCATGGGTATTTTTCTTGTCTTTATTGCAATAACCATTCTCTTGCCCTTGTGCCTTCACAGCTTCCCTAATCCTTTTAGCATTTTAAATCGCTATCCTGGTTAGCTGGCAATGCAGCTCTAATGGTATAATACTGTAATACTGTTTCCTGTTAAGGTGCAGAAGCTCTGCAGAGCCAGTGCATTGCATTTTGCTCTTAATTTATTTACTTTTTTTCAAAACAGTACACTTTAAAAAAAAAAAAAAGAATTGCCACCTCTCTGCTGACACAGCTTATACTTGTAAGCTGCTTTTATAGCATCCCCACTAATCTGTAACGAATGCAGGACRTAAAGAAAAGGAAATATGCTGCTAACCAAGAGAGATAGAAATCTACCATACGGTAGGTGTTGTGTGTGTGCCCTTGGGAAGGGACCTGCTGGAATTAATCACTTCATTTCTTCAGCAAGTAATTTCCACTAGAGTGTAGAAGTGGCAGGTTTCCTGTTTTTCTCTGTAAGGAATAGCATGGACTTCATCTTCCTCTCCCTTCATCCGCAGCAGAGGCAAAATGGAAGTGTTCAAAGTAGGAAATTTAAGTGATGTTGTCATGAGACTTTCCAGTGAAAAAAAATAATCAAGTAGTTGTCAGGGTCAGGACTCCCTTTGGGGAGGTGATTGCAGCGTTGTCTGTGATCGCATGTTAGTCTGGCATGCTGCTGAATTTCCATACAGGAAAAATTCCTTAAAAGTAACGAGAAAGACTCATGTGCCTTGAAGCAAACTGAGTGTTCTCACTCATTTTAAACATCATTTAACATGGGGTATATTTGATGCCCATTTAAATGGGGTATAGAAAKTGGTAGTATGCAATGCAAGTTGTTACTAAGGATTTAAATGTCAATACTACTTTATAAGATATGAGAAGTAAAGCGTATTGATAAAATCACTATAGCCACTAAATTAGTAAATATCACATAAATGAGGAGAGAGCTAGCTTTATATACTAATATCCTAGTCTAATATCCTTATACACTACAGAATTCAGCTCTTGGATATTTCATCATTTCATTTTTTTACACTATCTGTATCTAGATTTATACTATAAAATTTTGTATAAAACAGCAAATATTTTATTATATGGCCTTTATTTTGGAACTTATTGCTTGGATAAGTCGGTCAAAATGACTTTTGTTCCCTCAATTGATTTCTTTTGACACATGTGGTACCAATTAGAATAACTTCTACTGACCATCATCTCGTCAGTCTACGCTACTGTATCAAAATCCTTGATTAAACCCACCTTCTGTTGGTGTAATGCAAACCAGTTGGTAATAGTAGGTGATATTGCCAGATTTATTGAGTGAGAAGCAGCTTTCYGAAGATCTGGCAATACAGTGGAAAACATGACTAGATGGATTATTAAATTGAGCACTGTGGAATTCAGGATTAAAGTGAACTTGACATCAGAGAGAACTGCATGCAAAGTCACTCATGCAGTACGGTTTAGGAGATCGTTTCTTTCTTCATTTGAAGCTTCAATTTCTGCCTATAGATACCYTATCAAGTACGGATGGGTCCTTCTGTACTTGTTCAGGTGCAGAATACACAGTGAGAGGAAGAGCCTTGGTGCTTTCGCAGCAGATGCTCTGTTTGTAGCTCCTGGAAGAGGAGCCCTGCAGGTTCCCTKGCAACAGAGCTGCAGATTCTTGGATGAAAGTTACCTGTCTGGTGCACCTAATCACACATTGAAGACTTGAGAAATCACATGACTGTGATCACAAGTGATGGTGAACTTGCACCATCTTCCCTGTTACATTTTTTTYCCTTTATATATACTGTGTATCAGAATATGTCATATTTCTCCCAATATTTACTTTTCTCTTAAAAATCCTCCCTAAAACCTTTTTTTTTTTCCCCTAATAGAAAGTCCACTTGTTGAATTAATGCTCTTTTGTTGGTGTTTTTTTTGGTCTTGTTTTCCTTAGGCAGAGAATCTTCCAAGTGGACCCGATTGTGGCTACGGTTCTTTTCACCAGCAGTACTGGCTGGATGGGAAGATAATCGCCGTAGGTGTCATCGACATCCTTCCCTGCTGCGTGTCCTCCGTGTATCTCTACTATGATCCAGACTACTCTTTCTTATCTTTGGGAGTCTATTCTGCATTACGGTAAGAAAACACATTCTTCAGTCAAACACTGTGGTAATAATTGATGCTTTTTCCTGTGTTCGAGTTTTGGATTTTATTTCCACTACTCGAAACACTAGGAAAGGAGCAGGTGCAAGAACTGTGGTGGGACCAAGCAGCCGTGAGTGGGTGTCATGAGTATTAATGTAACTAATAATATAGTTTGAACTCCTATGACTTACAAGTGATCTTTTTTTAATATATGAAATTTATCAAAATACTCAAAATCTGTCTTTTTTTAATGATCATTCACAGTAAAAATTCTCAGTCTTCCTGAGAGCTGTTTTCTAGTGTGCGTATGTGTCACATTACTTTGTGGAATAAAGAGTGACACAATCCATGCTTAATGAATTCTTGAAATGATTTAAAATTTTCTGCATAGTAAATTTTGAACTTTATGTCAATGCAAAATGCTTGCATGGCTCAACTAGCAGTCAAAGGCAGCTTATAAATTCTGCTGCATTTAAGGCAATAAAAATGTTTTCCCAACCATCTTAGAGGGAGCCAAATTTTTTCCGCTTTCAAAAAGGGAGGGGGAAAAGTCTGAGAGTTGGGGTGGATTTAGGAGTTCCAAAGGAATCTGATTCCTTAAAAACTATTGCAAGTTTTACTGAAGAGATTGAACTGCATTGCAGTCCTGTCACTTCCATTTGATGCTATTTTGAGAATTTTTGATGCTGAGTCATAGAAAGAATGAGATTTGGTGATAATTTGAAATATATAGGAATGCAAGTAAGAAATGACAGGAGAAATGCTTGAAAAATACCTGTTTTACTAAAGAAAAAAAGTCTGRCCAAGAAATGCAGAGTGAAATTTGTTCTTCACTGGACACTGCACTGCCTGTGGGGGCATCTACTGTCCTTCAAACAAGGTGGCTTTGGTATCACGTGGACTAATTCAGGTTGCTCCAAGCTGGCCCTAAAGCTCTGTTGCCCATAGACTGCCCCGGCAGCCCAGCGTATCTCTGTACACCTCGGTCTGCCAACTTGACTTTATCTTCTATTTTTTTGTCATAAGAAATCTGACAGTGTAGKGTATTGCAAACAGTATTTAAGCATATTTGAAATGCAAAGATAATGTTGTTTTCCTCTGGTGTTTCAGCTTTTTTATTTGAACTGCAGAAAGCTTTTGTTTAATTACATCCAGGGTAATCTGCACAGGTAACATTGTTTAACTTGGTGCATCGATAGCTTTAAATATTATATGAGTGTAAGATACATACTGTTTTTGGTAGTATGTAAATCTCACCTGCAGAAACCATTGGTTTGGTTTTCAGTTTGTTCAGATGTCCTCATTGCTAACTTAATTTTGAAGTAGTTAAATGTATTTGTACGTGTTTCCTATACGCAAATTCTTATGTCTTCTTAAACATTCAATGTAATAATTTCTCACTGCTATTCAATCAAATTTGATAAAATTTCTAACTCTCAAGATCCAAATGCTGTAAAGATGAGCTGGGTAACAACAATACTTGCCTAGTGCTGGAGAATTATTGTGGAATACATTGATGCTTCTCTTTCAAAATAAATGAGAAGATCGTACAAACAAACGTGAGACGTGGAAAACAGCTTATGAAGGTGCATATTTTGCATGCAAATTGCTCGAATGCAAACAACTGAATAAACAAGAGCCTTATCCTTGTACCTTGTTGATTTTTARAAATCCTGAGGTGTTTTTGTGAGCTGTGTCAGTGAGGCCAGGTTTCTGTGGGACTCCAGCGCACCTGAATGAGGGCAGGAAACCTGTTAAATAGAGACCTTCAATCACCTGCTCTTTGAATTTCCAGCCAGTCACTTGGCAGGGCAAAATGTGCAATGGAGATTTTTAGCTGGTAATTTTGTTTGTTTGCTTGTTTTAAGCATTTCTCTGGAGTTTATAGTCTTTGTCTTTCACTTAATTGAAATCTAGTCCTTTCCGTGGGAGCCAGGTAGATGTGAAATATTTGCTCTGTGAAGAGGTAAAATAAATACCAGAACTGTATTCATAAGTAATTAATCTTTTTTCTCTACTTTCTTAGGGAAATCGCTTTTACTAGGCAACTCCATGAAAAAGCTTCTGATCTCTGTTTTTACTATATGGGTTTTTACATTCATTCATGCCCCAAAATGAGATACAAGGTAAAGTGTGTTTTCACTTATTTCCTTAGTGTACTATTATTCAAAGTATTTGACAGTATTTCTAGTAATATAATACTTTGTAATTGTCATTTTGCGTTTTAATGTAGACTTCATACGGTTAAATTTGAATGTTGGGTACTATTTAACTTGGCTTAATTTTCTTTTTCTTCAGCAGCATGTGGTATTTATTACGGGTTGGCTTGCAGGCAGTTCACACGAAGAGGTTTTCCAGGCTGTCAGATAACAGCTTGTCATTTGGTTACCTGGGTATCTCATACTTACAATAGATGTGGCAATAGTCTGAAATTCTCCTTTTTTTTTAGGTTTCAGTGCATATTTGCTTAGTAACTATAGCCAATTGCAACATGTCGCCTTGATCTTGGCTGTCCTTGCTGCTTCTTTTGTTCTACAGAACTTACTTTTCAGAAAGAGACCCATGATTAGTAGCTATTTTGAGTAGAACCCAATAGCAGATTTTTGAAGAAAGGGTCCAGAGATTCCTCAGAAGCCTTGGAATAGACCAGTCTGTAACCAGACCTTTTTTGTAGCTCATACTAACCACAAATTTGCTTATATTGAAGTGCCTCGAGCTTTGCTCTTCTATGAATTTTAAACCTTGTGTGAGTGGTGTGTATTCTCTGTAATGTGTGATTGCTTTTTGAATATTACTATCCTGTTTTGGTATACTGAATAGAAATTTGCCAAACATTTGCATGTAAYGGAATGCATATGCGAGTAATGCATAGCTTATAAAATAGGATTTGCATGGATTTTATTTTTGTTTTGTCTGCAAGTACGCTAAAAAAATGCAGTTTTTTAAATAGCCAGAAAATTGGGAGGATTTATTAAAAAATGATTGTCAAGGAAAAGCCATTTCATCTTTATAGTGGTCTGCTCCAGGTGACCATAATACTTTTTTCCTGAAAGAAACAAATACCTGCCCTTATTCCCCCTTTTTTAAAAAGATGTTTGGGTCATTTTTTCCTTTGCCAACTTGAGTTGATCACTAGCATTTACCAGCCAAAGTGAACGTTGACCTTGTGGTTGGATAATCGGAAAACACCACTTCTGTCATCTAAATCTTTATAAAGAATCACAGCAGCATTGTGAATCASGGGTCCTGATGCTTGCTCTACTCTGATAAATATTAAAAGATTTGGGATGATTCATCCATGTTATCTATAACACAGAGTAACATCTCTTGTCTGTTCTATAACCTGCATAGCTCAAGGTTTGCAAGGACAACACATCCAGTTTGCCAGGGCTCTTCACTAAGAAAAGAATCTTGTTGTCAATAGTTTGACCATAAGGACAAAATATATCCCAGTTCTTTAAGATATCATTGCTAAGAAATTTTAGGTTCAGCATTTGTTTTAATTTGCATCCCTGTGTGTATTGTTGCTCTAAAATAACTATTAGCTATTAAAATGTGAAGATTAAGTGCTCGGAATATTGCATTTAATTTCAGCAACCTTTATACATGTGTATTGCTTAAAACAGCGTGGAGTCTCTTCCATTGGGACTGTGTTGTTAGTTTTGAAAATGATTATTTCATGAATATAATTTTCTGAAATGCTTATGGCTTTCACACTCTAATAGTGGAGATTGAATGAGGTGGGAATAATCTAAGTTTTTTTGTAGGAAATTATTTTCAGCAGTCTAATTTCTGAAACTTATTCTTCCCTTGCTTACACCCAGTTCTGCTCTGATACTGCTGTGCGTGGCAGAAAATACATTTATCCTTTTGGAACCCTATTCATGTCACTGTACTCAAATAATTCCGTGTGGCCCAGTATGGAAATCATTCTCTCAGGGGTAGTGGGAATATATCTGTTCAGAACAGAGACATATATTTATTCAGAACGCTCCAAATGAAGTGGTAAGGAAGTATTCTCTCTGTTGGGAGAATAATTTTATTGAGTTGCAGGGGTTCCCCCCCTTCTATTCTTTTTAGCATTGTCCAAATGTAAAACCCTTGAAAACTAGTTGATATTAGCTCTGTAGCCTTTACCCTCACTGAAAGGAATTTTAAAATATGCTTTGAAATGCTTCTTGATAATGCTGCTACTCTTGTGAAGTTGATTAATAGCGGTAAAATAGCAACTTTGCAGATTAAGTAATTTAATTTGTGTCTGCTTGACTTATGTTACGTACGGAAGATTTTGCTTGGTCTCAATTTAATGGACAGTAGAGGTGCCCTTCCCTTAATGACATTAGTCTGGAGAAATGAAAGGAAATGGGTGGACATTGTTAAGCAGATGTCGTCGGAAGGAAATTAAATGATGAAGGAAGGAAAAGGAAGGGGCTGAAGAGCTGACTGCTGTTCCTTGTGCTCTGCTTGTGATGCCCCTTGCAAGTTGCATGTCCTGGGGTGTTTGGAAATGGAGCCGAGGCAGAGTGTGACCTACCCCTGTGAGCACTGACTTATCGAAGGACGCTTGTGAGCTGGGCTTGTGTAATGCAACGTCATGGGCCTTTGGGAAGGGTTGCACTGGGGACTGCCTTCTGGTGGAAGGAGTAGTGACCTTATGATGGTGATTAAAGGAGTTTGATGGTGTCTTCCTTTGCATGAAGTAAATTGCAATCTTAAGTGCAGGACTTGCATTTAATAATAACCAGGGATCTGTGCAATGAGCTATTCTGCTCATTCTTTATAATCTAGGACTGCAGTTAATATTGTCCAGAAAGTAATGTACAAGTGTATTGAAGTTTTAAATACAGGCAAGTCCTTGTATAGATGCACCAGTATCCACTGTGGAGGCTCAAGTGTGGTTCTGTGTGGGTCCTTTTCTGGAATGAAAATTCTCCTTTAGATTTTCCTTTGGTGTGGATGTAAAGTAATGATGGAAAATACCTTTTAAAAACTGATTATAGGTGGTCATTATGTGACAGTGAYGGAGCCATATCCAATAGCAGCTTTTCCCTTCTGCAAAGGATGATCTTGGTACATCTGTGGTCTCTAATCTCAGAGCATCGATGTTCCCTAGTGAGATCCAAGGCACGGATTTTGCTGAACTGCTCCTATTGGTTCCTCTTAGTGCGGACGCTAAGGCCAGGATTCTGATGGCACAATAAAACAATTGTAGGTTTCTGAATTTTGAGGGAGGAAGTGACATATTTAGCATATCCACCCTATGGATCAAGCCTGTATATGCTGAAGTTCTTAAAAGAGAACCTGTATGTGACTCTCTGCTCTCTCTTCTTCCTTCTCTTTACCTTCATTCCCCAAGAGCTTACATTTGACTGCAGAGTGATTTAAATCAGTGGTAAATCAGCAGGTAAATTTTGTAAGATGGGAGAGGAGAATATATAGTAAAATTAAACTTTTTTGTTGTTTTCATCTCTTATTTATTCCTATTTATGACCAGCAAAATCAGATATACATTAAGCTGAGACAAAGGGATTTCTGTACTCCTACTAACTATGTTAATATGGGAAAATAATATAAAACATTAAGCATTGGCTTTGTTCCACTTCTTTCAGGGTAGGTTGGGGTAATGCAAGATTAAAATGGTTCTCCAAAGAAATTCATGATGTTGTGGTAAAACTTCTGAGGCTCTGTTAGATGTGGTAGTTCTTATGTTGGAAAAAATGATCAGGGAAGTTTTCCAGAAGTTGCAAAGTCTTTTTCTTAATGCATTCTGGAGTCTATGATAAAAGTAAAGTACAAGAAAATATTTTATTTTAGAGTGATACTGCTGTCAAAATTGTTTCATGATTGTTTGAATACTGTGTCTATAATCGTTAGTGCTTTTTAGTTCATGATATGTTTTAAAACATAAAATTACAGAGATAAAAGGACTTTAGTCAACAGTCATATCAGAGAWATAGTTGAGAAGATCTTGGATTTTTTTGCTGTGCTGAGCCTCTGTGGTATCCCACATCTTACAAATTCGGGAATTATCCTTCATGGCTCTGTCTTACTAAATTTCACTTTTCCAGCCGCTACTGAACTCTGTGGTTTGAACCTACTGCCTTCTGTTCCTGCTCTTGCAGCTCTTTGATTCTGCTTTTGAATCTCATAGTGCCTGGTACTCAATAGATTTTGGGTTCGTGCTTCTGGCCTAAATAATTAATGTATTTGCTGGCCTGCTTTTATCATTAGTGTCTGTGACCTTAAATTGTGTGTTCCTCTGGGTTCTCATACTGGGAAGGGGCTGTTGGTAAAGTTTGCTGTGTGGTTTTCCTGACTTCTGGGCTTCCAAAACGTTCTTAATGTCAATATTTTCATGCAAATATTGCAATTTGAGCACACATTGTTACTTACTTTGGCCAGTGGTCTGCTTTCCCTGAAACCGTTCCATTAAGTTTGTAAATAAAAATTAATGTACTTTGAAGTGTGCAGCCGTTCTTAAAGCTTCTTGCTGTGTTATCTCTGTGTACCGTTTTAAGACCATTCTATGATTTGAAGAGGTGTTTTGACTGAAATCTGCATCCAGACTTGTATGCAGGCCAAAGTAAATGGAATTATTTCAAACAGTCTACTCTGGTATCAAGACGTGGCCAGACTTCAGATAGATGGAACACGAGAAAGGGTTCTGAAATGGCCAAACAGAAACAAAAGGCTGATTCATCTGCGATTAATCATTCCTAAACTAAATACCTCAGGCTGCCTGTGGTCGTAAGCGCTGCCCCTGGWATTTTATGGAACTCGAGAGCCAATTTCTTTGGCTGATTTTTGGAATTTCGGCCTCACTCCTTCGGCAGCACTGAAATCTGTACGGTAGTAGCCTGTGATTCCGCATYGGCCAAGTCCGGGATGGTGGGTTTGGTTCTCGGGAGCCCCGGCTCCTTCACAGTTCCCTGACCGTGGAATTGATTTAACCTTTCCAAGAAGGTGGAACTACTGGTAAGCTGAAATGAAGGAGGGAAGGAGACTCCAAGCAGCTCGTGACCTGCTGTGATTTTTGCTATAAGCAAATGCTGCTGTGGTTCTGCCCCTGATGTGCTGATAGGATTGCAGAATGTATCTCTAGTTCCACACGAAAAAGAGCTGGTGA